TCTAGTTGGACTCCAACAGATTCTCAGGCCATTGAACGTCATCCACTAACCTTCTAATCTCAATAAACCAGTCAGTGAGTTCCTCAAGCTGAGTTGATCAGACACAGTCTCTTGGTAAAGAGACTTAAAATATATTTATATTATTTAAAATATATTTGCACAAGCTGTTTGAACCATACCACTTTGTTAATTTTAATTACACTGTTCCAGTGTCAGACAATGTTGCTAGACTTCATAAGTCATCTTAATAGCCTTTATTTACAGAGTGTGCTACAAGCAACCAATAATTCTGTTTGAGGTACACTATATCTGGCAGATTAATTGCTCTTTTGTCCTGCAAATTGACTTGCAAATTTGGAATAAATTTGACCTGGAATGCACCTCAAATTCTCAGAAGTCATGTAATATATTTTCCCAGCACACTGCAAATTAAAATGAGAAGAGTACTTGTGTTTGCATTAGGCACACTGAATGTCAACAAGAACTGTCAACCAATGAATCTCAGAATGTAACACTTGAAAGGGCAGGAGGAAGCAGCTTTAATTTGCTTCTCTACAAACACCTGGTTTAAAGATTTATTCAAATATGTAAGGTTCTTTTAAAACCAAATCAAGATCACTTTTGCTCTGCTGGAACAATTTTGATGGTTAATTACATTATTATCCTGATATAGCTTCCCTGTAAGGCTTAAGTTTGCCAATTCCCTTTGCTTAACATGTTTTTATTGCTGGGAAAGACTGAAGGTCTAAAAGAGCCATAAGTCATAAGAGAATTTGTAGAGGTTTATTGCACAGTTCATAAATGGAAAGAAACATGGTTAGTGAACTAACAACACAAACTCCTTACATAAATTGCTTCAATAAAACACATTGGTCCTTACTAAGAAACTTTACCAAACTTATTGTCAGCTACATAGGGCATATTAGGCTTAAACACCAAACACAGAACAATTCACTTTTAATGACAACAGAGATATCCTTTTTTCTCATTATAATATATTACTTTTAAACAGTCTCTTATCCTCAGTGCCAAAAAATGTACACTACAGACATTACATAACAACATAGAAGACAGCAAATATATTCTCAATTGGCAAAGAAGACACATTCTGTTATTGCCACAAAATGGGAAACTTTCCAGCATGCTTGGTCTCTGCCATGTTCCCATGAGACCACATCTTTAAACACAAGTCCTCAAGGCTGCTCTTCTGACACGTCTTGGCGCCAGCAGAGATAACACAGTGCCCTCTTTGAGCACACGGCTTTGTTGTGTCAGCCTTTAAGTAGGTCATGCCAAGGAGCAGTTGCTATTTTGAACAACAGATCAGAGAAGAGAAACTTCATGCCTGAGTCGCTGTCAGGGATCTGAGAGCACACGTGTGGTTCAGCACAGCTCTTTCACCAAGGGCTCCCACAGCAGGGATGGGACACCATCCCAGCCACTTCTCCTGTGGGATTGCACAGAACCAGCAGCTTCAGAGTTCCTACTGCAGAGCTCACACATGCTGGCAATTTTTGTTTCAACATAGGTAAAATGAGTAATTATCTACTCATGCATCTGTGTTGTCTTTCTGGAGTGTCTGCTCTGTCAAACATCCAACAGGTAAGCAAGGCCAAGCCCCTATTTTCTTGACAATCATGTAATTATGAGGTTTCTTCTTTGACTGAGATGTTCTTACATTGGGCACTACACATCAGTAAATGCAGCTAAAGATACACCCCCTCTGCTTACGGATAACAAGAACCAGAGGTTTCTTCAACACATTAGGGTAAAGGATGTTTGGCAGGTGAAACATGTACTTCTGTGAGTAATAATCACAAAGTTGTTTATTATGCAGCTAATATTTCTTTTTCCTTATGTAGAAAGGTAAATTAATTGAAAAAGTAGTAAATAATTCACACTCCTTTCATAAAAGTAATACCTTCTGTCACAAGAAATCTTTGAGGATCCAAATCCTGCAGCTGCATGAGAGCATTGCTAGCCATAAACTTGTGAATAATCCCAGAAATTGATGAGATAGAAGTATTAATACATCTTGCTGCTTGAGATACAATTTAATAATTTCTAAAACAGCAACCAACTACAACAGGTTTTCTGACATGCAAAGCCTAGTAACAATTATATTTAAAACATTTGATTGAAAACTGTAGACAGATAACTGTGTATATCTCATACGCTAGATGTTGTGGACTAGCACTGCACCTTCTACAGACTGAGCCTGTATCTTGGCTTTTCCAGACAGCTATTTCCACATGTGCTCCAGCTATTTCCACATGTGCTCATAGGTGTGGACACATCATTGTTGCTGCCCTGCATAAGACAGAACAGTCCTGCTGCATTTTTAATCACAGAGGAAAAATAAACTTGTTGCAACATGAACTTGGTTTAGAAGATTTAGCTTACCTCATAAGATAAACTAGGCACAGAAATATTTTTTGCATTACTGTGTGAAAAGAACCTATAAGTACAACTAAATTATTAGGCCATTTTTCTGTCATGTGGAGCACTTTTGAAGTGTTTGCCTTGCACACCTATACTAAGTAAAAACACATCACTGAAATCTCTAAACTGAGAAGTCTTAAAAATAGGGGATGCCTGATTACAGATAGTCCCTGTTAGAATTCACAGTAGTTCCTCCCTTTTATATAATGAAAAATGAGTACTTTGTGGGAAGCATACTGCTCTTCTGAGTCATTCTAACTTAAGAGAAAGGCTCCCTATCATTTTTTTCTGGGTTTTTTTTATGAACTTCAGGCGTATTTGAAAAATTATCAGTACAAATCATGATTTCTGTCAGGAAACTGGCTGAACTCAGCCAAGCTGTGAGTTTGTACTTTGTTCCAATCTGAAAGTTCATGCCTGGATGTAAAAGGCACAGTTGTAAAAGTGTGAGACTCTTGGGGCTCTCTATCAGAATGGCTTACTTCATGTTTTTGTCTAGACACAGTCCCTAAGTTTTGGTCAACTAGATTTAGAGCCCCTGTAATAAATGTGTAAACAAAACTTGCTATAAATTAAGCTTTAGAAAACCTGCTGTCCAGATTTCTTTTTTGTTTTTCATTTGGGATGGAGAGGTGGTGACAGTCTCCATCCTGAAGGTGACACCATGAGCTGTGGGCTGTGTGTGCTCTGATCCCTCTCTCTGGGTTCCAGCTCCAGGACACACACAGGCAGCGAGGGCACACTGGTATCTCCCTGGCATCTGTGAGCACCTCAGGGATTTGGATTTTCCCCCTTTTAGACAGCAGAGAAAAAGAAATGCAAACAAACACACTAAAAATCCCAAATATCACAGGTTCCTATCTCAACCACCTGCTTTAAGCCTTTACCTCACACCTGGCCCCTCAGTTTTGCCACACACACAGTGCTGTCCTCAGCGCTGCCATGCCAGTGCTAGGGTAGATGTTTAAATGTAAGGTTCCCTCTACCCACCACACCACCAAGGCCACATTGAGCAAATGGATTGCCCTCATCACACAGCACACCCGTATTGGCAACCTTGGTGACACGGCCATGTCACCTGTCTGACACCAGGTACCAGCAGAGCTGAGGTGGCAGCGCAGATCAGTGCCGGACATGGCCATGTCACCTGTCTGACACCAGGTACCAGCAGAGCTGAGGTGGCAGTGCAGATCGGTGCCTGACACGGCCATGTCACCTCTCTGACACCAGGTACCAGCAGAGCTGAGGTGGCATTGCAGATCGGTGCTTGACATGGCCATGTCACCTGTCTGACATTAGGTATCAGTGGAGCTGAAGTGGCAGCGCGGTTTGGTGCCTGACATGGCCATGTCACCTGTCTGACACCAGGTGCCAGCGGAGCTGAGGTGGCAGTGCAGGTCGGTGCCTGACATGGCCATGTCACCTGTCTGACATCAGGTGCCAGCGGAGCTGAGGTGGCAGTGCAGGTCGGTGCCTGACATGGCCATGTCACCTGTCTGACATTAGGTATCAGTGGAGCTGAAGTGGCAGCGCGGTTTGGTGCCTGACATGGCCATGTCACCTGTCTGACATCAGGTGCCAGCGGAGCTGAGGTGGCAGTGCAGGTCGGTGCCTGACATGGCCATGTCACCTGTCTGACATCAGGTGCCAGCGGAGCTGAGGTGGCAGTGCAGGTCGGTGCCCAACACTCCTCACCAGGGTGGCCAGCAAGGCCTCACCTCTGCAGCCCTTGGCCGATAACCTGAGGGAGCTGGGGGTGTTTAACCGGGAGAAAAGGAGGCTCAGGGGTGATTTTTTCACTCTATAACCACCTGAAAGGAGCTGTAGCCAGGTGAGGTCATCCTCTGCTCCCAGGCAACCAGTGATAGGGCAAGTGGACTCAGCCTCAAGGTGGCCCAAGGGAGGTTCAGGTTGGACAGTAGAAAGAATTTCTTCACAGAAATGGTTGTTAGACATTGGAATGAGCTGCTCAGAGAGGCTGTGGCGGCTGTCCCTGGATGCATTTAAGGAAAGACTGGATGCGGCGTTTAATTGACATGAAGATGTTGTACTTGATGACCTCAGGGCTCTTGCAACCTGATTCTGTGATTCTGTGTGAATGATGCCAGGTTGCCCAGGAACGTGGTGGAGTCACCATCCCTGGAGGTGTTTAAGAGGCGTCTGGATCTGGCACTGGGTGGTGGTTTAGTGCTTTAGGGGCTCTGGGTGATATGGTTTAGTGCTTTAGGGGTCACAGGGGTAGTGCTGAGTTGGCGGTTGGACTTGATGATCTTAAGGGTCTCTTCCAACCTTGACGATTCCATGCGCCTATAATTCTATAATTCTATGAGTTTACGGTTCCATGAGTCCAGGCGCGTCGCGACAGGAGCGGCGGCCGCGGGCGGTGCCATGCCCGCCCCGCCCGCCTGAGGCAGCCCCGCCCCTGCCAGCGCCTCCGGCGGCCCCGCGGGCACCGCCCGCCCGCCTGAGGGCGGTGCCGCGCCTGCGCACAGGGCGGGGCGGGCGCTGCGGCGGGTGACGTCACCCGCCCGCCCCACCGGCGGGGCGGGGCGGGAGCTGCGGCCGCAGCCGCCATGGCCGGTGCCATGTTGGGGAGGAAGTGAGAGCGGGAGGCGGCGGTGGCGGCCAGGAAGGAGCCCTTCCCTTTTCCCTCCTGCCGGGGCGGGCGCGGGTTTCTCGGCCACGGCGGCTTGCGAGACCCCCGGCGCGGGCGGTGCGGCGGCGGCAGCTGGCGGCGGCGGAGCTGAGCGCCCCGGAGGCGGCGGTGGCCTAAGATGGCGGACCCGGCGGAGTGTAACATCAAAGTGATGTGTCGCTTCAGGCCCCTCAACGAGTCCGAAGTGGCCCGAGGCGACAAGTACATCGCTAAGTTCCAGGGCGAAGACACCGTCGTCATCGCGGTGAGGGGCCGCCCCGGGCGGGAGAGGCGGGAAGCGCCGCGGGGGAGGCAGGGCAGGCAGGGCGGGAGGGGGTGTCCGGGGCCGGCGGGGTCAGGCGCCGCGGGGATGGGCGCGCTCTGGGGCGGGAGGGCTCGGCAGCGCCCGCGGGCGGGGACGCCTCGGGAGGGGGAGCGGCCTCCTTGGAGACCGAGGCGAAGGGGAAAGGGGGCAGGGACGGCTGCGGGCGGGGTGGGCTGGTCTGGGCATGGAGGCGGTGGGGCTGAGGGGCGTGGGGCTGTGGGGACGGGGCGGTGGGGGCAGCTCGGGGGACCTGTGACAAAGGCTCCGGGCAAAGAGTGCCGAGTGCGGGGTGAAGCGAGTCCCGCAGTGTCCGCCGGGCCGTGTGTGTGACTGTGCAGGCACGCGTGGGAGCTGCCGCCCCATAGCTGTCTGCGGAGAGTTCTGGGGGGAAATGCGAACGACAGTGCAGGTTGCAGGGAATTAGTGCTCAAGATCTGTGCATCAGTCTTCAGCTGACAGCTTCTTTTTGTTGTTGTTGTTAAATCAGAATAAACACACCATTTGCCTTACTACATGTTCGTAAATGTATTTTAACTGGACTCTCCTTGAAAGTTATGAATCCCGTTAAAAACAATACGGATGTTGCAGGGGAAAAGATAATCCTTTCCTTTTTCTTCAGTGGATCATAGCTAGCTACAAAGTCGACCTGGAATATAAAAGTAAAGTACGGTGGTTTGTTGCCTGGTTTGGTTGGTGTTGTACAAACACACTTTAGCCCCAGTGTTTGTTTTGTTTTTGTTAACTCTTAAATTGTGTTTTGGTGTAAATATATTTAATGAGAGACTATTTCTTGCTGAAAGTAACTTACAGGCCAGTTATCTGTCTAAAAATTTGGGGGTTTGTTTTGTTTTTTTGAGGCTACCAATAATAGCTTTTTTGCACAATATCTGAAGTTGCAGCAGGCAATTTAATAAATTACTTTTTTGTAAGAGAAGTTACTAAATAGTAATGCTTTAGTCTGTTAATATTCAGCTGAATTTGTCAATAAAATATGGAATTCCATGAGTCTGGAATGACAAGAACAATAGCATGCTTGTGAAATGAGGTAATTTGGGCTCATTTCAGCTGGCAAGTTACTATCTTGGAGTACATCACTTCTTCCTGAGGTTGTACAGGTAAACTCAGAGTAAGGAACCAGTCCTGGAAAATAGAAAATTTAACTAGAGTGGATAATCTCACTTTCATCAGTCAATACCCATTCATTGTGACACTGCATAGTCTGTTTAAAATCCACAGTTTAGTGTGGAAACTTTCATGTGTTCTGACTTAAATTTTGTTTTGGTAGCTCTGGTATAAATGAAAGCTTATATTTTTTAAATACTCTTTAGGTGCACTTTGAAATTATCTGAAATGTAGATTGTGCTGAGGTGGTTCTGTATCTGAGTAGAACAATTTGATGGTGTGCTCCTGCAGGATCGTGTGGAGCTTTCTGCTCAGGATTGATGTTTAGTGTTGCCAACTGTACCTTGGTTATTTCACCTTGCTAAAAATCACAACAAATTTCCCATTTGTCCTGGATCCAACTGGGATGTCTGACTTGGGGAAAAATGCCCCTAGAATTATTAAATTGGCTAGCAGTGACAGTATTCCTGTCTTGTTTCACAAAATTTGAATAAAGGTTTGATACTCTGTGTCTTTGTAATGGTGGCTACAAGATTGGTATCCTCCAAATTATGACTTGAATCTATAAAGCTCTTGACAATAACTTGTGTTTGGTAGTTGTGTTTTTAATAACTTGACTGAGTTTTTACAAATTCAGGGCCCCTCTAACCTGAGCCTGTAGCCAGGCACCGCTTGTTTCTGTGTGCTGCAGAACTGCCCGAGGGAGGGTAACAGGAGCAGAGCTCATGGAACAGTGGCTGAAAGGCTTCCTCCGTAAGCTGTGTGTTTGCTTACCTCACTCTCTGCTTGCTGGCCTTGTTGCTGCCTGTTGAGCAGTAATTGAGCCACTTTTGGTTTTTTATAGCTGCTTCCCTCAGCTGCCTGAAGGACTGCACCTCCCGTGGGTGCCTGGCTGCGCCTGCAGCAGTGCAGGCTGTAGTAATAATAATAATAATAATAATAGTAATAAACAACTTGGGATGGGAGTTGCCTGTAATGGTCGATGGGAGGTGAGCACTGGGAGGCAATGGAAGCAGAGCTGATCCCAGGCTGCAGATTTGACTCCTCTGGAGGAGGCTGGCGAGGAAAATCAGTGACTATAACCAAACTCTCATCCTTCCTTGACTCCCCTGTCATCTCTGAGCTAGCTGTCTTCCCTTCTTTTCCAAGCTCCTCTGAAATTAATGTCATCCTTGTCTTTCTGGAAGAGTGAATCAGTTTGAGCTGTGTTAGATAAAACAATGGTTTTAACTGTAGCTGGTGTGGAACAGCAGTTTGAGCAGTTGGTGTTGGTCTGCTTTAAAGAGCAGACTCTGAAACAAAGTATTTTCTTTCCACAGGATGAAACTTTTTAACTAGTAAAGGGCTTTTAATTTTTTAATTGCAGGTTGCTTCTTTCTATCGTAATATTATATTATTTTTTCCTAATGGCTTTGCCTGTTAATTAAGTGTAGATATTTTGTTAAAACACATTATAGGATTACTCATTATATGACTTTTATGTTAAACATTAGAAATGTACCCTATGTGAAAATTGACAGCAATTTGCTAGTGGATTTCAGCCTTTTGAGTAAGATAGAACAGAGAGGAAGAGCAGTTTGATATGGGTTATCTCCTTTGTTTTATCAAATATAAAACTGCTTGCAGCTGAGTAGCTTTATAGTTCTGCATAATGTATCTATAGATCTTCTTTAAAAACCTTTCTATATCTAGTCTTGTTCATCTTAAAACTACCCACAAGATACATTGCTGAGTGCAGTGACTCTCTGGGGTTTGGAGCTGAACCCTGAAGCAAAGGCAGCACTACCCAGTGGCTGCAGTGCTGGGGCCTGGTGGGTGTGCACAGGAATGGGCAGTGTGCCTCATTGGCAAATGGTTTTTAGTAACAGTCGTTGTCCACTCCTTATTTGTATGGCTTTCAGGAAAGAATCATGGCTATTTGTCTGTATTTTTGTATTTGTTTAAGATGTGATCCTGGAAAGAGCTTGAGACATTTGGCTTTCTTTCTCATTATCTTTTAAACTAGTGTTGGATTGTAAATGAGACAAGACTAGGTTAGAAAGTTGTTAGAATCAGGTAACGAAGGTCACTTCTACTACTGCAGCTTTTAGTAATAGGTTTTTCAAAAGAAAAATGCTGAAGACTGTACTGGACTGTATAAATGCAAGAAATGAAATGCATTCTTTAGAGTAACTTTATTATTATTATTACTTGCTAATGCGAAAAGAAAGCACTGTTTAATTAGAGACAAAAAAGGCATCATGTCTACAGTGATACTATAAATATGAATCAGGAATTGTAATCTGCAGCTGAAATAATACTGTTATTCCAGTGTTATCCTCTATTTCTTTTCCTTACTTCATTCCATTAAATGTTGGGTAACAAAGGTGCTTTTCAGGTGACAGTGGTGTGATGATTTAACAGAAAGGAAATATTCTGGTTTGCAGGAGTCTGCAAAGGCAAAGCTCTTCTCCCTGGCTGCAGTGCCAGTTGTGCAGAAACACCTTGCTCATATTTGCTGGGTTTTATTGTCCTGAAATTCAGTGACCGTTTTTATAAACAGCAGTACTTGCTTTTCTCTTTAGAAGAACCTTTCTACTTAAGTTAAAAGTTTGGCTGAAACATTTATTCAACAATTATTCTGTTTCCATTCTGGAAATTGAGTTTCTAGTCAGTGTATTAAATCACATATTTTAGTAATTGTATAGCAAGCAATAACTGCTGTAATAGTTAATACTTGAATTGCAGTACTTCCACAGAAATAAGAAAAAGGGGACAAAAAGCTGAGATTCACTGACTGTTCTGTATCATCTGCACTTTTGTGTGCATGGGGCTAAGACAAGAAGAAAATCCTCTTTCTTTATCCTGAAATTAAAATGCTAATTTGTAGCTGTGCCTTTTCACCCATTGGCAATGTTGGACTGGATTAGGTGTGTCAAAGCAGCAATACCTTAGCTTAGTAATAGGAAGAAGTGAGTCAGGTATCTGACATCATACTTTCCAGAAACTATTCCATTTGGGATAAATCTTTTAGCATATTTAGTGCTGATGGGAAGAACATTCTTTAGTACAGATGCAGCTCTTAAAGGCAAAGTAAGCCCATTATGTGCCCCTTTAACCTTTCACCAGGAATAGGCTGAGCGTGGGTAGGTGTTGTAGCACTGCTCTAACTGCCCATTCTAGCAAGAAACATCCAAGAGCTTCTGCATGTGTTGTGGTAGAAAAACGTGCTACTGCTTTTTCAAGTGCATTTTTTACTGCTGACTTTGCTTCAGATATCAGTGTATGAGAAGTAAGATAAACTCAGGTGATCTTAAGAATAACCAATTCTGTACTTTATGGAAAGTTGCAATAGTAATAAGGGGTTTTATAAATTACATCTATGGAGATAACCTTTAGTATTTCTCAGACTTTGGATGTAAATTTGCAGTGTAGTTGTGATTGCAGATTTTTGTGTAGTCCTCATTGGATATATTGACAAAAAACTTCTCCACAGAAACTCACATGTACTCCAGATTTTGTATAATTTAGATTGCTTGAGCATCTTTTTATATAATGGGTAACTAGTCTTTAAGTTAGCTATGGGACTGTACTTCAGCATCATCCCTTTATTAAGATTCAGTTTAGCTACTGCTGAATCATGTTGGCAGCTGCACCTTTGTGAGGGCTGTGAGAGCACTTGGGAAGTTTTGCTGTGAGACCACATCCCTTCGAGTGCAAGGCAACTGTGGGAGCTGCAGTTGTCTTGTGGTTGACTACAGACAAAAGAAATGCTAGGCAAGGAACTAAAAGATTCTGAGAGAGGAAGTTAGAAGTTCTGCTTGTTTGCTTGGTATTTTATCTCTTGCTTATAAGGCCTTATGTATTAAATTTTTAACATTTGAGCAGCAATTTCTAAAAATTTCTAGAGTGTGTCAAAGCAGCCTCCTACTGTGTTAGTGACACTGCTACTACCCCTGTCAGGGACACAATGCTGCTTGGGCCTTTTGTGTCTCCAGTTCATCATTAGATCTGATTGTTTACTGCTTGGGGAAGAAAAGGCATCTGGTGCAGAAAAAATATCTGACACTTTAATCTTTCTTGATTAATCTCTTAAAGGTAATGAGGAGACATTCTGGGCCATGGTAATCCGTGTAATGCTGTTTTAGCTTTGTTTACTGCAGAAAGTAGACTGTAAAGAGAAGTGATAAGACATTGTAGATGTCAAAGATGTGAAACCATACTGAGTGGGAGTAATTTGCATTCTTAAAACATAATTATCCTGGAACCTGCTTGTCTAAACTTCCTTGATTAGATAGTGACTCAGTGATGATGGAGCAGGGACCTGCCACTAATATGGATTTTCATAGGTGTGATAAAAATGAGGACATGTGAGCAAATATTCCACTCTCCACGTGCAAAGGATGGAGAAGTGACAAGTGACAACAGGACCCCTTGTGAGGATTCTCTTGGCCAAAATTACTGAGTTTTGTATATTGGTAGCAATTGGTAACTTGAGGGAAATCGATATTGGGCTTGTGCTTAGCAGCTTTCACTGTATAAATAAACAAGATCAATTAAAGGCAGTAGTGCCCAAGTGAAGGCCTTGCAGCTTGATTTTCTGTTCCACAATGGAATTATTTCAGTGGATATAAATATGCACTGGAGCACGAAACAGCTGATTAATGTTTTGTGGTGTAGCTGACTTGCAGTGTGTAGTGTAGCTGATATCTGTGAAATTGGAGGCTTGTTGAAACTACAGCTGCTAGTGAGAAAGATGGTGTTATCTTTTCTACAGGATCTTTCTTTTTGTGTAATGTGCTCTCAGTCTTCATTTTCTTACCTCAGGGTTACTTGTTGTCTCCCTCCTGGTGTGTCTAACAGCCTCAGTTCTGCCTGTAGAACACAGGGATTTGAGGTGTCTTTGAAGCTGAAATGAGTAATGGAGGAGGGTGGTGTTTTCCCTGCTGTGAAACAAGTGTTCTGGCAAACTTCAGCCCCTTAGGGACAGTTCTGCCTACTGAACCTTGTGGTTTCTTGAACATGTTTATTCAGTGAACTCTGTAATTATTTTTCCAAGAGAGCACTCATCCACCTGATTTCAAGGCCTCAGATAAATATGTTTAGTCTGAAAAAGCTTTGTTTGGTATGGTGCTAGATATTATTAGAAGACAAATGGAAGGCCAGGCCAGGAAAGGCAAATGTGGGTGGATAAAAGATGGAAGCTATACTTGTTTCTTTGCCAGAGAGGCAACTCCAGAATATCCTTGTGGGAGGATAATAATGAATTAAATTTAGGCAGAATGGAACACTTAACAGTTGTAGGGAGTTTAACAGTGTTAACTGACCTAGGTTTTTTGTAAACTTTGCCCACCTGCTTGGCTTCCTACAAAATCAAACTCTGAAAGAGCTACAAGAAATTTGAACTTTGTAAGATGAGTGTAATCATTTCTATCCTAGTAGATTGTCAGCTGCTTAGAACTGTTATAAGAATCTCATCTCTAAAACAAAGCAATAACCAGCATTCCTCTCAAAATTGTCAGATCTTCCTCATGTAGTCTTTTCCAAAATGAGTCTTGTGGAAGGTTTCCTTCCCCAGTATCACCTTTTATTCTGCTTGGGGAGCTTTATTTTAAGGATGTCTTACATGGCACAATAGTTTATGTTGAATGTTTCTTTTTGGTTTGGTTTTTTCCAAGAAACACTACCAAGACTCTATGTCATGGGGTATGTTTTTAATAATTGTAGTTTACCAGAGTGAACCTACTGCCAGGGTAGGGGAGAATAAGGGATTCTTAGATATACAGATCAGGCGTTGGCTTTCCTGGTAAATCAAGTAACTTGAGGTCATGTGCAGAGCAGCTTTGCAGAACTATGTAGATAACACTCTGAAACCAAATATGTTTAATTGAAGGCCTTCCTTGTAAGCAAGCATGTGAAGATTTAGGCAGCACTATTTAAGCTGATTTCCACACAACAGTCTTCAAGTGCTTTAAATAGAAGATTGGGCTGAGACAGTGTAGAGTACTTCTAAACTATTAACAAACACCTTCCATTCCACTTCCAGCAGTTTTTGATAACTCTTCTGTTTTGGTTTGTTTTTTTTACAGTCCAAGCCATATATATTTGACCGTGTATTCCAGTCAAACACATCACAAGAACAAGTGTACAATGACTGTGCTAAAAAGATTGTCAAAGGTAAGGTGGAAGAGCAAATATACCACAAGAAAATCTCATATTCCTGTGGGTTTCACTGTTGAAAACTAATACTTCTATTGCTGCTTTTTATCTTTGGAATGTTTAATAAGTGCCAGCATGGATTGTAGCACCATACAGTCATCCTGTAGTTGAGCTAATAAATTATGTCAGTGCTGTAATTAAACCTGATATTGCAGTTGATTGCAACATTTGGTAACGTTACCTGTTATGTTTTAGGGGTGTTTTTGCAGTTCTCTGCAATGATCGTTTAAAACAATTTGTCAGAAATTAAACATAATAACTATTCATAATAAGTTTGAGATGTGTCATCTACCCTCCCCATGCCCCCCAAATTTACTGGTGAGAAACATCATCCAGAAGTTCATCTAGAGAAATGCAAGAGGAAATGAAAATTGTGAAATATGAGTTATTGCTGTGCATGCTAGGGTGTGCAATTTCTCCAAACCTGAATTCTCAGATTTGGCCTAGTACCTTCAGAAAATCAAGTCTTGTCACAAAGAAGGATATGCCACAGTAAGTTTTTGTAGTAAGCAATTAGCTAGTTCCCTGAAAATAAAATTGATTCATTTCTTGAGGGCATCAATAAGTTCTAATTGACCCAACTTTCAAAACAGCTTTACAGAGCCTTGTCAGAAATCCCTGAAATACCAATTATTAGTTAATACCAACAGAATATTGGGTGAACATGCTGTGTTTTTCATCATTAGAAAAGTAAATTGCTGTGGGAAATGCATGCTGCTGCAAGTATTTAACCCTTTAATGAGTTAAATAATAATCAGGCTCAGATCAGGAGGCTGCTCATTGAATTTAGCTGAGAGTTGTAATGCTGCCCCTTTTATGCTCATGTAAGACTCTGAGCTCTGTGTGGCATTTCTCACCTGTGCTGCATCAAGTGGCAAAGGAGCTGTAGTGGTGAGACAAATGGATTTACAGGTATGGTGGAGTGGCAAAGCCCTCCCCATCTGGAGTATCTCCTCGTGCTTGTTTTTGGAAAATCAAAGTTTGCTTGCAGGATGTGATTCTAGAGTAACTTACACATAAACAGGCCGGGTCACCAGCCCCTCACCCCTCAATCTAAACTTTCCTTGATTCATTCGTAATTTGAAATAGAAACTTATGGCCTAACAGTAAGATGTTTGACACTTAGAGTGTTGCCCATTCTCATCACAATTGGACAATTAAACTTTCTTGTAGGCAGAAAATACGATGATGTTCTCCTGTTTGGTTTCTTCTGAGGTACCAAAGACCATCTGTTCAGCCTGGCAATTGCATTGATTTCCTTTTTGTTCCTAAATGTGAGGTCCTGATTTTTCTGGTTGAAGAAACGGGAACTTCTAAGGCACCGTCAGTGTTGGCAAAATGCATTCAAAGATTTAGGGAGGAACACCTCCCTCCCCCTAACTCTAGCACAAGGTTCCCAGACACTGAGTGATTTAACTTACTGGGTATTTTAGGACCTGCTTGCTTTAATTCTATTTAATTCAACTTATCTTTAGAAGAAGGAAATGAACACTAATGAAAATACTCTTTCCCTTTAGATGTACTTGAGGGATACAATGGTACAATATTTGCGTATGGGCAAACATCATCTGGAAAGACACACACTATGGAAGTAAGAATGTTAAAATAATTTTCTCTTACTGTCCCTGTCATGTCCTTTCATCCCAATAGTCTTTGCTTTGTAGAAATAAGATGTCAGCTTGTTTTCTTCTTGCAATATTTTGATACCCCCTTATTTTTTTAGGACTGAGAATGGCAGTGTGGGGGTTTTTTTCACACTCAGTAGCAGGATGAGAAACACGGGAATAATATCAATAGCATCATTTCAGTTGTAGTTTGGGAGAGTTCTGAAGCTGTTCTTTTCACTTTTGGGGAACTGGGAGGCTCACTTTACTTCATGAAGTGAGTGCATTATACCTGTCAGTATTTTGTCTGTTAAAGTGAACCAGATGTTTTGTGTCTGAGTACTGTTTGTAATGCTGGATTGAGTATGAATTTTTTGTTACATTCTTTTTCTGTTAAGGGGAAGCTTCATGACCCAGATGGAATGGGCATTATTCCAAGAATAGTGCAAGATATTTTTAATTATATTTACTCCATGGATGAGAATCTTGAGTTTCATATTAAGGTAAACTTTTCTTCATTTTCGTGAATGGATATTCTGTATCTGTTTCAAATGCCTGTAACCTGGAAACCTGATAACCTGGGTTATTACTGATGTAACTGATTTTTCCTAAAGAAGAATTATGTTAAAACTTTCATATTGTTCCCTTCAATATTGATGGAAACAATGCTGATAACCTGTGGCAGTGCTGATAGTGATTGAAACTTCTGATCAAAACAGTTTCTTCCTAAAGATACATTTTAATTCAGCCTGAAGAACTTGAGCTGGATGTAGTGTTATGTGGAAGGTCATAGTAATCATGCTGAATCCTTGTGATCAAGATGCAAAGCATTTTTGCCTTCTGATGTATCCCTTTTCCTCTTCTTACTTCTAGGTGTCATATTTTGAAATATACTTGGATAAAATAAGGGACCTTTTGGATGGTAAGAGTTTTATTTGTATTGAACATATAAAATAAATTATTCTGTAGGGACATATTAAAAAACCCCTTATGTTATTTAGGTATTCATTATACTGATAACTTTGCATGATAAGGGTATATCATAATGGGAAAGCATGGAGCTCATCTATATATTGCTAAAGCTGCAGTGGTGGTGCTTTCTTGTATGTTAAGTTTTTGTCAGGTGTTGCTGAGAGGTAACATTTCTGACTTGGGCATGCATTGTATGCAGTGCTCTCATTCAGTTTTGCCTTAGCTTTGGAATGTTTTCTCTTCCAGTTTCAAAGACCAATCTTTCTGTTCATGAGGACAAAAATAGAGTTCCCTATGTAAAGGTGAGCATCAGTCAATGTATTTTCATCTTGCACTCCTCTCTGTGCACATTTATTTGTGCCTTGTTTATGTGGTGTTATTTTTCACAATCCCCCATTTTTCCCCAAGGGGTGCACAGAGCGGTTTGTTTGTAGTCCAGAGGAAGTTATGGATACTATAGATGAAGGAAAATCCAATCGACATGTAGCAGTTACAAGTAAGTATCATCTTCTGTTTCCTTCTAGTCATTTATCTGTTTGCTTCTGGTATAGGGGAGGCACAGATAGTGAGCTAAATAATTCTGGTGTGTGAAAGGGTCTGGCATAAGCAGTTTCAGGATGTGTTTCATAAACAAGTATTTCAGTTCATTTCTGGTTAGATCATGTTGTTAGACTGGGACTGAGAGGAGAAAGTCATCAGTGAGGAACTGTGCATCACTGGAGAAAAAGTGTAGTTCTACTTTAGGAATAATGCAAAATCCCAGTTTGTGGAATTTGTTTCACTTAACCTAGAAATCTGTAAGTGTGGCTCATCCACAGTTTGATTATTCTGTTTCATATTCCAAGAGCAGCTGATCAGAATTCAGACCTGTTGCAGATTTAAACAGCATCCCAAGATTTTTGGCTGTAGCATGCAATTGAGTTGCAAGGAGCCATGTCATAGGTCTCCAAATTCCCACAAAAAGCAGGATTTGGAAATGACAGAGGGGTTAGAGAAGACAAGGGAAGATGTAGGTGCATGCAAAGTAAGACTTGAGCTCTTAGCAGCTGAGGTGACTGTCTGAAGTTTCAGAGCCAATTTCAGGATGTTTCACAATCTTCTTGTGTTTAGTTCTTTATTCGGGAAGAGATTATACAGTCATTAGGAAAATATAAGCATTTTCTTCTCATTTCTTAGGTTAAGGATCAAAATCAAAAATTATATTTTCCTTTTAAGGAGAGTTTCAGTCTTGTGGTTTTGCTTCATTGCTCCTAAGTAAAAAGGTTCAAGTGGGGACTGCACTAAGAAAATTTGAATAGAATATTATTTTGTGTTCTGTGCTTCTTTAGCATCAGTAAGCTGGTACTTTTAGAACTGTGAGAGATTTATACTTAAAAGGAAGAAGAAATGGCCAGATGTTCTCATTCAGGTTAAATTTTGTTACTGGATTAGAATAATACTTTAAATTCAACACGTCTTGCTTTCTCTTAATGTTTCACAGCAGAGGAGGCAGCACAAGACAGGAATGAAAGGCTGTGGCCAGTTAAATTTTCAAAGAGGGATAAAATGGGGTACACTGGAAGTCTTCAAAAGACTCTCTTATCAAGAACTAAATATACTTTCTGTTCTAATAAAGTAAATTAATGTATGAAATCCATGGTTGACAAGCTAGCAAACCTGATGAGTGAACTTATGTGATATTAATAGGAGCCCAAGGGAAAACTGGATCTTTCTTACCCAATTAGATGATACCATTGGTTTTGCTGCCTCTAGGTGTGCTGTCATTGAGAGATTACACTATACAGCTTCATTAGCTTTGGATCTCTTGCTGCACTGTGGGGAGGTGTTGTTTTAAGTGAGACTGATTGTACAAATCTTTTTGATGTGTTTATTTTGAATTATAGATATGAATGAGCACAGCTCCCGAAGTCATAGTATTTTTCTTATTAATGTAAAACAAGAGAATACTCAAACAGAACAGAAACTAAGTGGAAAACTTTACCTTGTGGACTTGGCAGGTAGTGAGAAGGTAATTATAAATTTCTCTTTCTGCTCTGAAACTGTGTTTTTTCTTTACAGTCAAGTATTTTACATGGTTCAGTTGTCATCTCTAAGGTGTGTCAGTTTTGATGTTGAAATATGGTTTCTGAATCCTAGGCTGGCTTGGCTGTTAGATGCTTTGAGCTGATCCACATTTCTGCAAGTGAGGATTTGTAAATCTGGACTAGGGTGGGGAAAGAGGGTAAAGTTCAGTTTCAGTATCTGAGATGTGTGGGTTAGCCAGGTACAGGAATCAAGTTTTATGGTTGTGGAATATCTGGATTTTCTTATGTAGTGATACCAAGTTTCTTAATCTGAAAATTTGATTAACATTGGTTGACTGCTTGCTTTCCTTTATCAGTAGCTTAAAGCAGAGAAGGAAATACATACTGTAATTATTCTTCTGAAAGCTGGATTTCTAAAATGCTTTTCATCTTTGCTTCTGGGTTTATCCCTGTCTTTACCTCCAGGCTTGCTGTTGTTTTTCCTTACATCATTGTTCTATGACCTTATTGTTGTCTCTGATCCTATATTTTTTCTGAAATGTGTTTCTTTAGTCAGAGTCTTTTTTTCATTTAAAGAAGAGAGCTGGGTTGCAGATCTCTTTCTCTGTAGTTCCTTTCAGTGTTTGTTTCAAACTTTACATTGGTGCATTTCCCTAGTCCCTTTGAAATGCATGCAGTTTTCTAATGGCTTGTATTGGTTTATACACAGGAAAGTAGAATTGTTTAATTGTAGTCATGGTCACAGCTGGGTGGAAATAGTTAAAGGGAATGTTATGGAACTGTAAGTCAAATTCAGCCCTTGAGGCAAAAGAGGCAAGGTGTATAGAATGGCATCAGGTCAGATTTTTTTCATGTTTCTGCTACCTACTTAAGCTCCTAGAGCACTCATATAGGTCAGATTCTGCCTCTAAAATCTGTTCTCACAGATTTCTGCTTGTGAAGATTTTCTGTTCTGTTTTCTAGGGGTAGTAGTGGTATGTGGTTTGGGTTTTATGCTTTGTTTTGTTAGGGTTTTTAAGGGGAGAGGTAGTTTGGTTTTAAGGATGATCTCTGGACAAACTATTCATAATGCTTATTTACTCTTATGGAATCAATCTTTTTTACAGACTTCAGAAAACTTTTGAAGTTGTTAATGTGACAGAAGTTACTAAATATACATTTATGTTTTACAAAAAGGTATACCTTGCAGGGAGAATATTCACTTCAGTTAAAAACATGAGAAATGTCTTCAGACACTGAGTTTTGGATGAGAAATTGATAATGAATTGGGGAAAGTCTGACTAAGAGTTGGCTTATGTGTACCTCATAAAGCCAGGGAGACTGACTTATAAGTGGGGAAATTATATAAGTTTTCTCTTAAATTTTGGAGGTATGTTTTGAAGATGCATTTAGTAATGTCCTGAAATATTGTATAGGTTAGTAAAACTGGAGCAGAAGGTGCTGTGCTGGATGAGGCCAAGAACATCAACAAGTCTTTGTCTGCTCTTGGAAATGTCATCTCAGCCCTGGCTGAAAGCAGTGTAAGTGTTCTCTTTTGTCTTTTTTTACTTAAAGGCTAAAAGCTTGTATCTCTGAACATACTGTGCAGAAATTCCCACCAGTCTCAGTGATATGAGCCAGTGCATTGCAGGTGGCCATTACTCTTGTACTGTATTAACAGTAAAGATTAATAAGTTACATTTAATGCTGAGGGACCTGAGCATCATACTGAAAATTTCCTTGTGCTCTAATAGTTATCAACATAGAAATACAATTTTGTCATCCCATGCATCTTCAGTTTTATGATTAATGAATTAAAGTAGAATTTAATGTCTTTCTAATGAGGTCATACCTAGCAAGAGTGTAGTTCATATTTCAGCAAATTAAATGTGTCTGAAAACCCATGACTGATCATTTAACCTCTTCCTTGGTAGACATATGTTCCATATCGTGATAGCAAAATGACCAGAATCCTTCAAGATTCACTAGGGGGTAATTGCAGAACCACTATTGTTATTTGCTGTTCTCCATCTTCTTACAATGAATCTGAAACTAAATCTACTCTTCTGTTTGGCCAAAGGTGAGTATGTGACTTAATAGGAATAAATGCACAATGAGAAATAAGTAAGTTGCTCTATTAAGATTGCTGAACCAAGTTAATTAGAATGTTTACTTTATTTCTATAATTCTTCAGTGTATATGTGCCTAAGTGTTGTGATCTGTCTTGTCTCTAATATATATAAATCCTGAACCCAGCCAGGATCATGAAGACTGTATTATCAGGAGCATATAATTTGGTTCAAATTGTGGTTTAATGTATAATCTTGAAGGGCTAGAAGTACTTCCCTGTCCCCTGCCCTTCCTCAAGTAGGTAGGAAGGAGCTCTTCCCTTGTGAGTTGAAACCTTTATTTGCCAGGAGAGCCTGTTCTCTGGTCTGTATCTAACACTCCAGTAAACTTTGAAATGATTCTTGTGAATTCCTGTGTCATTTCTAACTGAATTTATACATACTCATTCCAATTAAGTACTTCGTTAGGTACTTTTTCTTTGCCATTGTATTATTGTTGCTGCCTTGTTATACTCCAGTTCCTGACCACTAGATTGCATCACACTGTTTAGTGGAGCACATTCCAAATCCAGTCAGTGCTTTGCTAGTCCATCTGGTCTTTGATGTTAGTGCACCTCTGCCACTTCAGTCCAACAAGGTAGTTTCCTGCTGGTCTTCTCTGAGAAGTTTTGTATTACGGAAAATAGAAATCTGGCAGAATGTGAATAGTTAGTGAGTGTGGAGTAATGGCTGCATTCTGCAGCACTGGAGGTTTTGGGTTTCATTTTAGAAGGTAGGAGGTCTTTTCCTTTTATCATTTAGTGAATGAGCTACTGGAAAGTGTCTTCCAGCTGCAGCTATGTAGTTTCACTAACTTGTGCTCTTGGTGTTTTCAGGAATTAACAGAGTGCATTCCTGTCTCAGCCACTACAGTTAGTCCAGTGCAATGATTCAACTTCCTAGGGATATCAAATTTATGCTGAAGCCCTCAGCTGTAGTAACTGAAGGCTATGTAATAATGATATAATATAGTAGAAAAGCATAGCTCTCTTAGTAGTAATGTGTCCCTAAGATTTTGCTTTTGGTTGAAATGAGGTGTTTATTAGACAAGCCAGATGGCTTGCATGCTAGAGGTGTCCTCTCCATGGGACAGTGTTTGCTAGATGAGGAATACTGTTGTTCAAAACTGTGTACATCTGTCCTGACCTCAGTTCTTTCAGATGAATGTATGCAGCTTAATTTTTCCAACTCAGTCAGCTTGAGATTTCTCAGCTTTCCAAAAGTTGTGTTTCTCTGTCCTTTGACAGTTGTATCAATCCAAATGAAAGAATAGTAATTTGACAGGGACTAGAAATAAGGTTTTGGAAGAGATGGGAATGTTTATATTTTCACTAGTGATATGTGAACATGTTATTTAGTAACCTTTAATTTCTTTCTTTAAAAACGAAGTTTCAGAGCTTTTTGCTTTCTCTGTTTAGAGCAAAGACCATTAAGAACACAGTCTGTGTCAATGTGGAGCTCACTGCAGAACAGTGGAAGAAAAAGTATGAGAAGGAAAAAGAGAAAAACAAGACTCTGCGTAACACCATACAGTGGCTGGAAAATGAGCTCAACCGATGGAGGAACGGTGAGAAGCAGGTTTATTATTACTCTGCAAACTTTAGACAGGACAACACACACTGAGTTAGTCTTCAGGCTACCAGAAATAGCTGAGAGCACTATGCAAGGCAGTGATAAGGATGTTAGAGCTATAGGAGTAAGTCAGCTTTGGAGCATTATATTTTTCACTTCATTGCAACTGAAATAACTTCAATAATCATGTTATGACAAAAATGTCTGAAAGTGTATTCCTGTTAGACTGTTCAACACTTAGTTTTCTAGCAGGACTAGAGTTACTTACATTGTAAAAAGAAAAATTTGGGGGACACAAAAACTGATATTATTTGTAAGTGCAGAAACTAAGTGAAATGTTTCCTTTGTTTTGGTTTTCTGATTCAAAACAATACTACAAGATCTTGCCCTCATTTAACACTCAAACATGTGAATAGGCAAAAAACCCATCCAAACCCCAAAGTTGCTGACAGTATCAAATACGTGCCTGTTAATTCTTCCTGAATGATTAACTTCTTATCAGTTCAAGTTGCTGGCAAAATGCAAGTTAATAGTGAAGCCATAAATTCAGGAAAGAGAACATAGGTCATGCAGATATACTCTGGAGTTTCACAGCTGTAGAATATGATTTTGCAATCTGACAACTGCACCACATCCTGATAAAAATCTGAAAAAAATGAGTTTGCTGAAATAGGTTTGGTAGGATGTAGGGGGGTTTTTTGTTTGTTTTTGTTGGAGGTTTTTTATTGTTTCATACAGCTGGTATGAGGCCACACCTGAAATGTCAATATTCTGAAAGAACTATACTTAACATCAGATACTGGAGTGTTGGAAAGAGCCTATACCTTCCAAGGACTGCATGAAATGTTTTGAATAAAGCACTAAGAAATTTAGTTTAATTTACTAGAGAAGTGCCTTGGTATGTTCTGTCTTCTTCTCTGTGAAGTTAGTGTTCTCATCAGAAAAATCTTTATGAACCTGAAAGGATAAAAGTGTCATGGAAAAGATTTTACATTAGAAGCAGAGCAATGTAAAAGTAAATGTGACTGCCTAGTAAAACAGTGCCAAGGGAGACAGAGTTTTATGTCTTCTGGGAAAATCAGGTGACTTTCTAGAAGATAAGGTTTGATGTGTAGTTTGGAGCTCATAGCAGAGTAACTGGATGAAATATGATGTTTTGTAGTAAGCAGGAAATTGTTTGGATGATCTAGTGGGGTTTTGTTTGTTTGTTTGGGGTTTTTTTACCAAGTAATCTGCTGAACTCAATTGGTTATGAACTGTGTAAAACTGTTAGTAGGAAATATGGAATACTTCTCAAGGGTAATTTTGTGGGAAGTATGTCATGGCTAACTGTACTAAAATTAAGTTTACTTTTAAGGGGAGACTGTACCAGTTGATGAACAGTTTGACAAGGAGAAGGCCAACTTAGAAGCTTTTGCAGTGGACAAGGATATTACTGTTATTAATGATAAACCAGCTACCACAATTGGAGTAACTGGCAATTTCACTGATGCTGAGAGAAGGAAATGTGAGGAAGAAATTGCCAAACTTTACAAACAACTGGATGACAAGGTATGCCATTCTTACTTAATGTAAGATCTCTTGAAAATATGTCTTGAACTATATTATTGTATAATGCATCTTCATCATTCTCAGGAGGAGAAGCCAAGGGGCAGGTACAGATCTCTTCAGTCTTGTGACCTGAGGGAATGGCCTGAAGTTGTGTCAGGGGAGGTTTAGGTTGGATGTTAGAAAAGGTCCTTCATCCAGAGGGAGGTTGAGCACTGGGGCTCCCCAGGGAAGTGGTCACAGCACCAAACCTGATGGAGTTCCACAAGCCTTTGGACAATGCTCTTGGGCACAGGGTGTGACTCTCAGAGTGTCCTGTACAAGGCTGAGAGTTGGGCTTGATGATCCTGATGGGTCTCTTCCAGCTCAGTTTATTCTGTGATTCTGTGTTTAATTTGCCAGGATTCATTTGTTAGCTCAGCTTGTTTAAGTATTTGCTGAGAGCACTTCCTCTTAATTCTGATTAAGAGAAATCAAAGTTGCCTTACCTGGTGCTAAGGGAGTATTGTTTGTTAGTTGGAAAACAATAGATGTGGGAAAATGAATAATTTGAAGACAAATTTTTTTTCATGTTTTGAATATTTTATTTGAAATAAAAAAAACCTCAAATTTGAGCAGTAGTACTGTATTTGAATAGAAAAAATATTTTAATTAACATAAATAAATAATTTAATTCCTTAGAACAACTTGGAGAAGGCTTGCAAAAGCACAGGTATAAGTTTTTTGTCTCTGAAGCATGGTGTATTGCACATACATGCCAGGTTAAGAGCCTAATGAATCAACCAGTGAGAAGAATTATTTTTTACTGCTTTTTTGTGTAATTGTCTTGGAATAAAGAAAAGTTAGATACCTTATGTCTGCTATCTTGTAGATTATTTTTTTATGAGTGGTATTTGTCAGTTTAATGAAGACAGTCTTATGTCAACTACAGGATGAAGAAATTAATCAGCAGAGTCAACTAGTAGAAAAACTGAAGACACAAATGTTGGATCAGGAAGAGGTGAGTTTTGCTTTTGCATCTATATTTTATTTTCATTGTCTTTCCATTAAAGAAATCTTTGGTATTTGGAATAGGTCACAGTTTATGACCAGGAAGTAAAATGGAAGTATTTTATGCAAAGGCAGTTGTCTTCCTTATGCAGAGTTAGCAGGTTGTCAAAACTGAAGGTAACTTGATTTAATGTAAGAAATCTGTTCTAAGGTTTACTTCTGGTCAGTTGCTGTACAGAGAGGGAAGGGAGAGGAGGGAAATCTATTGGCCCATAATGAAAAGGGAAGTATCTGTGTGTTAATTCACACCATCCTTGCTAAAATATTCAAATTATTTGTATGCACATGTTGCCAGGGATATAAATTAATGAGGGGAAATTCCTGTTAATAATGAAAATTCCATTTAGCCAAAATATTAGAAAAATTATTTCCCTGTATCACAAATGTTAAAGTAATCTTTGTGTGCATATTCAGAAGGAAATGGGCTAAGGACTAGGGAAGTTGGAGCTATTGTTGAATCTAATTTAAATAAATAAATCTGCTTATTTAGCAGTTATATCCTTTGTCTAGTTATTCTTCAGCAGCTAACAGTGTTAAAATGCTGAAGTTTAGTCCCTAGACTATTGAGAATTCCAGACTCATGAGTAGTGTTCAGTGGCTTTTTTGAGAACTTGCAATATTCCATGTGCATTTCTGGTTGCTACTCCTATGTCTTCATTTGTAATCACTTCCATTTTTAGGATATTTAAAAACTTAAAGAATTGTGAATATAGATGGTGAATTTAGTTGTTCATTATATTCTGTTCTTGGTATCCTTATTGCATGAAGCTAGTCACTAGGAATGTAGATACAAGCTATTGTAGCAGCTGAAAGCATTAATAAAATTCAAGATATGTGTGGAGTTTTCTTAATGGTTATTTATTGTTGTATTTTTACTAAACCTCTGTCCATGTTGCAGCTTCTGGCATCAACCAGACGGGACCAAGACAACCTGCAAGCAGAGTTGAATCGCCTTCAGGCTGAAAATGATGCTTCTAAAGAGGAAGTGAAGGAGGTGCTACAAGCCCTTGAAGAATTAGCTGTCAACTATGACCAGAAGTCTCAGGAAGTAGAAGATAAGGCAAAGGAGTATGAACTGCTTAGTGATGAACTCAATCAAAAATCGGTATGAAATTGGGATAAGAAATTACTGACAATCTTCAGTGTGACTTTCTTGCCTTATCTGTAGTTTTTAAAGTCATTTGAAAATGTTTCACAAGGGAAAATGAGATCCTAAGTCTAAAACTTACTTCATTTTTACAGGGAATGATTATCTAAAACTTGTAAGCTTAAGAAAAAATGTATGGTGATTATTTACCTTGATAGTGCTTGTCTTTTTGGTGCCTGTGACATTTTATTCCCTGAAGAGTGTTCAGAAATATCCTAGGTGTCAAAACTTAAAACTTTCATTACATGCTGGTTTTGTTTGTCTTTCTGGTGCTGTTGGGGAAATCCTGTCTTAATAATCTGCTTTTTCCAATCTTGAAGTTGCAGTGAGCATGCTGCAGTTTCTCTTGAAAGGAATGTGTGTTTGCCTGCTGTGTGTTTGGAATGTGAGATAACTTAACTTACCTTGATGCCTTCAAAAGTGAGCAGTTTGGTTTACTTTCTGAAAGGAGTAGTTGGGGATGTATTCCACAAGATGACCCTTGTTAAAATACAGATGCAGCATCAGTCTCACAGGCTGCTGTGCACCTCCTTACATCCCTGAACTGACACCCTCCTTACATTTCTGAACTGACAGTTTTGGTAGCCAGTTTTTGACAGACCTCAATCAGTTTTAGGCAGTTGATACTCTACCTACTGTCCTAAAATTCTAAGTACTGGAAAGGATCAGCATGTTTGCTGGCATTGCAGACAGACAATATCAATGACCCAAGTCTCACTCTTCTCTGTTCTCGAAGATAAGAGGGTCTGAGTCTTCTAGTGGCTGTGTCTTCCAATTTTCAGTTAGTAACATTTGATATGGGAGAGCACTAGTGATGTAATTGAAGTTCCCAAGATCATGAAACTTCTTTTTAACCTTCTGAATGTTCTGAACTGGTAACTTACATCACTTGAAGATTGGCCAAAGTCATAGAATTATGAAAGTCAGAGTCTTATGAGCAGCATTTAAAGTCTCTTGGAATAGGCTTGCTCTGTGTGTATGATTCTGAAGTGTATGGTTTGTTTTTTGATGGGGTTTTTTTTTTGTTGTTTGCTTTATTGGTGTAGTTTTTAGTTATAGGTACTGATTCTAGATATTATAACTAACATCCAGTGAGTGTCATGAATAACTCAATCTACAAGAAAGCAACTGTTCAGAGGTGTCATAAAATGGAGACATCCCAATCTGGCACTGCTAACCCATGCAGCAACCATCCTTTGGCATCTCTGCCTGAGATGCAGACTAATAGCAGACTCTTGAGCATGCAAGCTGCTGAGCTGCAGCCACTGCAACCACAGCAGCTCAAACCAGCTGAAAAAGTGCTCAAGAATAAGTATTGTGCTGATGAAATGTCAGTACTGGAAGAGTATTCTCATTTTTTGATTTGCAAGTAGGGAAGAGTTAAGAACTCTGCAGATAGAACTGAAATTGTTTTAATTTACCAAACTATTGTGGAAAGTGTTGGACCTCCTGTCCATTTACCCTTTTTCTATAAATGTGATTCCCTGCAATATTTAATTTTATATAACTCTAAATGCTGTTTAATAGTGTTAACACTGATTTTGCTGCAGAATTTTAAGGTTTTGTGAGTTGAAGGTCTCTGTCCCCAGTACTTTTTAGTTCTTTCAGAAGAAATGCTGGTGCTCTGTAAATAGTATGACACTAGTTCCAAGAACAAGAGTTGTTTTGTTTAATCAAGGGTAACTTTTTATTGTAGGTCACTTTAGCCAGTATAGATGCAGAGCTTCAGAAACTTAAAGAAATGACCAACCATCAGAAGAAACGAGCAACAGAGATGATGGCTTCCTTACTAAAGGATCTTGCAGAGATTGGAATTGCAGTAGGAAATAATGATGTCAAGGTAAGAGTTAATCACTTCTGTTTTCAGTGCCAGGTATTGAACACATGCAGTGTGGATAGGTGGGGACATTTTCTTAGTATGATAAAAATTACCTCCATAGGAAGCTTCATCTGTATTAATAATTTGGACAAAAGCTTCTCCATTGCTTGTACTGTGACTTAATCAGGTCCCAGACAGAATTTGATTATGCATAGACAAGGAAGAGCATGAATGATTTTTTTCTGAAGCAGTGTTATACAAGTGCTGTGACAGCGTGAACTTCAAACAAAGCACTTCAAAAATACAGCAGACCCCACTGGTTGGCAAAGTAAGCCCATAGAGTGCCCAAAGAACGTTGATGCCCATGGGAGCCAAGGGCAGAATATGCTGAGAGGTGACCAGGGTGATGAGCCCATCTGGCCTCTACACAGGAGCACTGGGGCAGTCACAGGCAGGCCAGGTCCCTGGGCATGGCTGGCCAGGGGAGTTCTGTCTCTAAAGCTCTCAGCAGGGGCACTGAGAAGAAAAAGCTCAGAAACCTCCCCAAGTTCAGTGGCTTAAGCTAATTTGTCTGAGACACCTCCCCCACAGGAAGTGTCTCCAGCACTGCTTACCTGTGTTCTCCAGGACAGATACATTGATCTGGAAGGACACTGGGATCTGCCTATGGTTGGTGATCTCCAGAGTGCTTCTCTCAGTGAAACCCTTACTCAATCCTGTTATCAAACTGCTGTATGAAGTGGTCATAATCAACAGCATTGTCTTGGAAATCTAATACTGACTTACAGTGACAATCAGGATGATACTTGTGTTAAAAACAGCATGAGGACATGAAGTAAAAGATAAGTCTAGAAGATGGCAATAGGCAAGAATGACTTACAGTAAGTCATTCTGAGCAGTATTAGAAATAAATTGTGAATTGCATTTACTTCTTCGAGCAACTCATAAATTGTGAATTGCATTTACTTCTTCAAGCAACTCATTGTCTTTGTGCAAACTTCTAAATAATCAATCAGAAAATTTAAATACCAAAATGTAAGTTTGTTTGGTTTTTTTTTCTGAAGTTCTGTGGTTATCAGTTGAGGCTGGGGATATGTCCTGGGCATTAAGATGCTCCAGTGCACTGTTAGTTCATTTCTATTATGTGAGCTTTCTAAATGTGCTATTCCACCCTTTTCAGCAGCCTGAGGGAACTGGCATGATAGATGAGGAATTCACAGTTGCAAGGCTGTACATTAGCAAAATGAAATCAGAAGTGAAAACAATGGTGAAACGTTGCAAACAGTTAGAAGGCACACAAGCTGAAAGCAATAAGAAAATGGAAGAAAATGAAAAGGAGTTGGCTGCCTGCCAGCTCCGGATCTCACAGGTAAATATTTCTCTACAGTGCACAGTGTTCTTTATAAATTAAATTCATTAACCTATTAGGGAAAAAAAAAAAGTTGCAGGGTTTTTTTGGCACCTAACAAAGCACACTGTGAGTGAACAGCCATAAGACTCAGCTGTTTCCTTAGTACTGGCATCAGATTGGATGCTTCTAAGTAATTCTGCATGGCAGGAAGTCAGAATTCCTGCAATTTATCTGTAGCCTGCTAATGCTTTTGTAGCACCTGTATTAAATACTGGAGCCTGTGTGTTCTCCATCACAGGATTCTTTACAAATACAAGTCTTAGAGAAGCAGTGGCTAGTGGGCACTCTGCCTGCTAATGCCCCAGGCTGGAAGTGGGAGAGGTAATAGCAGAGTAAAATTCCAAGAGGTTTGTATAGCAGATTAAATTTATTTCTAATGTGAGAAAGGCCATTTTAATGTGATTGTTAGAAAAGATAAGTAATGTGAATTCTAACACTTCTGAAAACTGTAATCTAGACATGCAGTTTAATATTTCTGTATATTGTTTTTCATATAGATAATCATCTCTTTTAAAATCAGGAGATGCACATTTCAGGGCAATCTTCTAAATACAGTGGCCCTCTCTTGCCTCTGTTAGTATTTAACATTCAAAACATCTCCCAGCCAAAAATGTATTTCATTCCAACCCAGAATAAAGACATTGTCTTAAAGGCTGCATTACAGATCTACTTGAGTAGTCATATTCTTCTAAGAGTCTAGCTGGCACCATTTTTGTTTTAAGATGAGGTTACTTGTTGTGTAAAAAATAAGTATGAACCGTTTATGCAGATGTAATTCCATGGTACCTAGTTCCAAAGCAAATGAATCTTTTCATTCCACAAGCATGAAGCCAAGATCAAGTCACTGACTGAATATCTTCAGAATGTGGAACAGAAAAAGAGGCAGCTGGAAGAATCTGTGGATTCCCTTAATGAAGAATTAGTTCAACTCCGAGCACAGGGTAGGACTTTCCTCCCTACATCCACCCACCACCACCATTTTAACAATATAGTGATAAATATAAAGTGGGAATTGCTCTGTTCTGTTTAGGTTGAAAGGCAGAGCTATAAAAAGGCTTTTTGCTACTAACCATGTAGCATTAATCCATGGTAAAACATGTTTGCTGCTTGAAAGAATTGTTATTGATAGGATTAAAGGTGTTACTAATTGAATTAATTTTTGTGGTGGGAGGGGACTTTTTCCAAATTGTAACGTGTTGGGAAGGGAAATCAATCCTATCATCCATGTGATTGCATAAATACCTGGCTGAATGGTTTTTTTTGTTCTCTATCCCTTCTAGAAAAGGTCCATGAAATGGAGAAAGAGCACTTAAATAAGGTTCAAACTGCAAATGAAGTCAAGGTGAGGTAATTTCATTGCTTAAAAAAGAAGAAAACCCTAACAACCCAAATTCCCCCAGAGTGAAGCCTGGTGGTAACTCAGAGCATTTGATATGTTCTGGTTTTTTCTAATAGCAAGCTGTGGAGCAGCAAATTCAGAGCCATCGTGAGACACATCAGAAACAAATCAGTAGCCTGAGGGATGAAGTTGATGCAAAGGAGAAGCTCATCACTGAGCTTCAAGAGTGAGTACTTGGCTTTATTTTAGTGGTGCCAAATGTCTCTGGACTGGGCAAGTACAGAAGCACAGTACAATGGGAGGAAGTGGTGAGAGTTTCCTCCAGAACTATCTTTTGGCTTCCATTTTGATACTGAATGAGCTAAGAGTTTCAGCTGATCAAATATTTCCTTTGTGTTCAGCCAAAACCAGAAGATGATGCTGGAGCAGGAACGTCTGAGAGTTGAGCATGAGAAGCTGAAAGCGACTGATCAGGAGAAAAGCAGAAAACTTCATGAGCTTACGTGAGTGATAGTGAAAGTGATGTGTGAAACAAATGTGTGTGGGGACACTTGCTCTGCAACTAGTGACCTAATGTGATGCAGTGCCTCTCACTTTATAGCATGCTTGTTAAGGAGGCCTTCTTGAACCTTTTTTAAAACCTCTGCACTGCAGGAATACTTAAAATAAGGAGTAAAATTATGAAAGATATGAAGGCCACAACTGCTTTTTTTGTTATTATGCTATGGATTGGATTAACTTTTCAATTTGCAGCTAAGTGTTGCATTCTGTAGGACTGCAAGAGTCTTCTAACAACTCCCCTTACTCTTTTTGTGGTTCTTCTGTTCCCTTAATCTTTTTATAGTTCTTAGGTGATTTAACTTGTTAGGTGGCTCTAACTGGTTTATTCTTAAAATTAAACATTGCATGCTTCATTGATGAGCCAAATACAATGTGTTAGTGAATTAGAGACTGGAAAGTTAGTGGAAAAGTGGAATTACATTCTGCTTGCAGGTACTATCCAAGTCAAACTTGAAAAGAGTTCTCAGCTTCTAGAAATCTGACCTTAGTCTCCTGGAAATCTTTCTAAGTGTATCACTTGTAACCCCTTCCTGGTGCATACAAATTTATCTTTACAGAAGCTGAAAATACATTATACTTAAAGTACTCTTTGAGAAGTTCTTTTTGGCTATGTTTAAAACACATAGTGGTTTTCAGGGGTTTTTATCATGGTATTTGAAGTAGTCAGAGGGACCTGACTCATCTGTGCTGGTAACCAAGAAATAATGCTTGCTATTTTTTTTTTTACCTTTTTGGTTGTCCTGTATAACTGACTAAACTTTTAACAGTACTCTGATCTTGTGATTCCATCTTATTTTGATTTATCTATCTGCCACAATGATTACAAAACTTAGATTAACTGCAATAGATGTTCTTGTAAGATTCATTCCTCTTCAAAAGATTTGCAAAGTTCTAAAAACTGTTCTGTGTCCTCCCCCAGACTTTTTGAATCCAGTTGTTTTCCACTGAATATCATAAATGTGCATGGCAAATGACAGACCAGGAACAATGCAGATTATTCACTTTAATTTTTTCAATTTGTGGTTGTAGAAGATGCCTGGAATTATTTATCCAGAGACACCTGGAAAATGGATAGGACAGTGGCATTATTTAGAATATTTAATTAGATTAAATGTTTGCTCATTTAACTGTGAACTATGGACTATGTAGTTAAAAAAGCTTCTTTTGCTCTTGGAATTTCTCCTCACTCAGTCAGTAGTGAAACTGAGTGAGGAGAAATTCCAAGAGCAAAAGAAGCTTTTTTAACTACTTAACAGGACCACTTCATTTTTGTGTGGTCCTTGGCCTTTCTATTCCAATCTCAGGTCATAAAAAGAAAAGTGCACATTGCTTTCCTGTATTCTGTCATCTTGGTAACTGCACTGACTTACAGTTCTGAGAAAGAACATTTCCTGTGCAGAAAATGCTTTCACAGTAACTGGCAAGACAGCAGCTCTGTACACAGATAATCATCAGGTTCTATTCCTGTACACTGACACTGTTGTTTATTGCTGGTTTTGCCAGCTTGTTAAGAGTGAGGTGTTAAAGAAAACAAAGAGAAAATTTTTAATCTGGCACATGATCCTTATCTCAGCTGGTCACAGCTAAGAACATTTGTAGAATAAGATCTCCCCACATAATCACTCCAAAGCGAACTCTAAGAGTTTTGTCTTTTACTATTCTAGAAACTTTTACAATTTGTGCATCTGAATGTACTTGTTTGTATTCAATATTAAAAGTGCATCCCTCTTTTCCTTTGGGAACTCCCCCATTCCCACCACCCCCATGCCATACAGATTTCTGAGTGTCATCTGTTGGTTCCATCTTTAATTTAAGACTTCAACCAAAATACTTTTTTCATTTGTACCATAGAATGTTAATTACTCTAGTCCTCTAAATGAAAATTTCTGATTTTTCTAGGATATTTCAGGAACAATTTTTTCTCTTTTAGGGTTATGCAGGACAGACGGGAACAAGCAAGGCAAGATTTAAAGGGTTTGGAAGAGACTGTGGTAAGTAGTCAGAATATATTCCAAAGCAAATGTCAATATTTGTCTTTTTTCTTTCTTTCAGAGTTTGTTTGGCTTGTTTTGTTAATTTCTTGTTCTTAACTGTAGGCAAAAGAACTTCAGACTCTTCACAATCTTCGGAAGCTGTTTGTTCAAGATCTGGCTACTAGAGTGAAAAAGGTAATGTGGTGCTGTAGTTAAACTTGTAGTTTCTGAGAATGCTGCATAAATTTCAGTTTAGAACTAAGTTGGGGGCTGATGTTTATTTGGTTTAATTTTTATGGCTATGCAAGTTCAGATTTGTTCTCAGCCCCCTTTCTCCCTCCCCCTGCAGAGTGCTGAGATTGACTCAGATGATACAGGAGGCAGTGCTGCACAGAAACAGAAGATTTCCTTCCTGGAGAATAATCTTGAACAGCTCACAAAGGTTCACAAGCAGGTACAGTGAGACTTCATTTCAAATTTTAATGAAACAACTCCAGATCCATTATTACAGCAGCAACTGTCTATTGGTCATAAAATAACTTTTGTAGGTAAATACTTTTACATCCTAAGTGTGTCTCTTGATACAGGAGGACTTTAGTCTGTTGTTTTGTAACATAAATTATTTAGCTGTTTTAAGTACATGTGGGTGTATGATAAAATAGCTGTATTTAAACAGAAGGGGATCCAGGTTTGTGTTTAGACTGCATATATGGGTCTGAGGGCTGCTTGCCTGTCTCAGATGGAAGAGGTGTCTCTGGTGGGTAGCAGGTTCTTCCGCAGTAACTGATTTTGCAAATGACAGTCTCAATGTCACTGACCTCCACAGATTTACTAAAAGCTTAAGCAAAGTTAATACAGCAAGCCTACTGCTTTGTCTCTTCAGGGGTGAGGAGGGTGTTTGATTAGCTCTCCCTATGAGGGGAGATACCACAGAAATAATCACTTCTGGTGTTGTAGCTGGTACGGGATAATGCTGATCTGCGCTGCGAACTTCCTAAACTGGAGAAGCGACTCAGAGCCACGGCTGAAAGGGTGAAAGCTTTGGAGTCTGCCCTGAAGGAGGCCAAAGAAAACGCTTCTCGTGACCGCAAGCGCTACCAGCAGGAGGTAGATCGTATAAAGGAAGCTGTGAGATCCAAGAATATGGCCAGAAGGGGACATTCAGCACAAATTGGTGAGTACAGAATCCCCTACCCCAAAGCTTCATCTCTCCTACTTTGGTTTTGTTTTTGTGTATATGTGATCTTTCAGCCATCACTGAAACTGCACATATCAATGTGATCTATTTTCTACTGTGAGTAATATTTTGGTTAACAGACTGTGTGTGGAGGTGGTACTTTATGGTTGTTTGCCTTTTTACTTATTTTATTTGGCCTTGGAAAAGGCTTACCAACCTAGATTTCTAGCCTGAATATATTATATTTCCTAGAAGAAACAGTACACTGCATGTGAGTCTTAATCTCTTAGATGATTCCAATTTCTAAGACTAAAGAGGTATTGCAAGGAAACAAGAAAGATTAAGCCATCACCTTCAACAACAATATCAACAAAATTGACCTGATCTTAAGGGGCAGAGGAGCAGACAGAAACCCACCATATCCAAAGATCCTTAATTACCTTTTCAGTTCTTTGTTCCAAAACATAGAGTATCCACAGCCCTCTCTAGGGGAAAATAACAGAAAAATGGGTGGGAATGTGGAGGCAGAATAGCCATATTCCTTTGCTCCTCCACCTGCCATTACTCTGTAAAGTGCTGAGGATGAAGAAGGTGTGTGACCTGTGGGGAACTTAACTGTGCCCATTATACTACAGCTGTAGAACTGAAGGACTTCAGTCAGCAATACACTTCTCTTAGTTGTTAATGTCACTAAAATGAGCGTTGCAGTTAAATTTTGCTCATATTCTGCAGGTCTGCAAAGAGCTGTTGCAAAATAGTTTAAGTTTTTTGGTCACATGAAGTGACAGCTTGCAGACAGGTGCTTTTGTGTCTTAATTTTCTCTCAAATGGTCTCCAAGAAAACAAACAGTTCTCTAGTGAGCTCACCTGAGGTACACAGCCTCTTGTGATTAAATGTCTAGATGAGCTAGTCATGTCCTCCTGGAGATCAGTTTCCTATAAGGCAGTAATTGAGAAGTGTTTCTCTGCTGCAGCTGCTGCCTGTAAGTTCTTTTTTGCCTGCTGAAATTTTAAATGCTTCTCTTTAATATTACAGAACTTTGTGAAGTCCTACACATGCATTGTGTGTGTTCTGTTAAGAGCTAAGCGTAAAACTGATTGAAAATACAGTTTATTAAGTGTATGCAGCTTATGAACAACCTGTCAAAACTGCTGGATTTTTACTTTGGCTGTAGAGCAAGTTTTATTTTTGTGTGGTGGTAGGTTGATGAAGCAGTGTTATCTGTGCAGTGTTGGTACACAGAACCACCTGCAGAGAGAGTAGCTAGTGACTTTATCAATAAGGAGATGTGAGAAGGACAGCAAGTATGATTGCTTACTGATACATAATTCTCAGGAAGCTGTCTTAGTGTTGTGTCCTATTTGAGTTCTTATTGCCAAAAAAAGGATTCACAGAAGGTAGTAAATTAGGTGGCACAGATAACTCTTGTGAAGATAATCCTTATCAGAAGCTTCTTGAGCTTTAACAGGGAACAGTAAAAGCAAAACCTTGTCTATTCTCCAGGGTTTGTTGTAGTTGACGCTAATCTGCTATGTTCTCACAATGCCATCCTCTAAACTTGTTTTCTTATTCCAAGTGCATTCAGTTGTGACTATTGCATTTGGCTAATGATATCAGTAAATTTGAATAATCCAAGATACTGTTGTGTGTACATTTGTAAGTCCCATTTCTTGTCGTGCAGCTAAGCCTATCCGCCCTGGCCAGCATCCAGCAGCTTCTCCAACTCATCCAAGTGCAATTCGCGGCGGAGGTGCGTTCACTCAGAACAGCCAGCCAGTTGTGCTGCGCGGGGGCGGGCGGCAGGACAAAGTGTAAGTGTGTCCTGTAGCTTTTTGTAAAATGTGTGATCAAACTGCTTTGTGTTAGGTTTGTTACTGTCCATTCTGTGTCATAAAGCCACTCAAATAGTCGGATTAACTCCTCCTTTTTTCAGAATTTTGTAGCCAGTGGAATGGTATAATGTACACCTGACTAAAGATGCTGCTGCTTTTCTTCTAAAGCATGTTTGCTGTAAAATGGTAATTCTGATGGTGTTCTGCAGGAGTAGAACTAAATGTGGAAACAATCAGCTGGAGATGGTTACCAGTCAAAGACAGTAGCCACTGTTTGAGGAAGGGTTGGATATTTTAAAATTCTTTTGGCTTACTAGTATCTTTTAAAATACAGTTTTCTTCAGGAAAACATTCAGTAATGAAATAAAATTTTCCCTATTTTTACATGTTATTTATTTGCTTTTCTTACTGTATTTGCACACTGCTTCATGTATCAGTGATTTAGAATTATTTAACAGAAGAATTTGTGTCCTTATCCAGTAAACTTAAACTTAAAATGTTAGCCTAGCTAAAATGCAGTTACAGTAATTGAAATTAAATGTACACTTACTTTAAAACATCTCTAATCTCCAAAGTAATTACATGTTGCATGGTATTTAATATGCTTAAGTTGCTTTACAGAATCATCTCTTTTTAATTAATATCTGCTTTATAGTTGGTTGATCTGTTGTTCACCTAACAGTAACGCTGTACTTCATATTCTGTTGTCATCTTTACTTTTGCATGTGTCTATAAATCTCTTCTAGACATTTCCTTAGTTAATTATCTGCATCTTCAGTTTGAAATACATCTAAAATGGGGTGGGGTGCTTGAAATCTGGGTGCTCCTCTTCTGAAGGGCTCCAGAACAGCTTATGTCAATCTTGTTTCTATTTATTTCTTTTCATTAGCTGACTGACTTTTCCAAGCTTTCTCTCCAGTTCAGAGAAAACAGGGCTGTAGTACTAGTCAAGGTACCTGGTTCTGTTCAGAAATGTCTCTAAGTAAATAAGAGGTTGAACTGATGGGTACTTCAGCCTTGAGTAACATTTGCCTTGAATGACCAAGGAGTTGCCACTAGCCAGGAATAGCAGCAGCAGTCATGGGAAATGGAGCTGGGCTCTAAGTGGTTTCTGTCTATAATGTTTACTCCATTATTGCAATCCAAATTGCATACCCAGTCAGTTTGTGGTGCTGTAAAATCGTTGTTAGCAGAGAGCATTGCTTAAATGCTTTGTGTGCTGTGTGATTTCTTATTTTAAGGAGGGTTTTTTATTAGCACTTATCTGAGTGGTTTAAGAACTGGGCTCTTAAAGGCCATGTAAATAATGATATGGTCTACTGTAAATGTAAATAACTTTGCTTTTGTGTCTTAACTCTGATTTTTTTTTTTTCATTTACAGTTGCTGAAAAGTAAATGCAGCATGAGGAGGATTGGATATTGTGTAGAGGGAGTCATTCCATGACAATAATCTCTCCTTTTGGGGACTGTAGGATTATTTTTTGAAAATTGTATAAATTATACCTGGCCTGTACAGCTCTTCCCCCTTCTACAAATTCTGCTAACTGATTCCCAAAAAAAACCAACTAGAGTGCAATTTTGGCGTCTTGAAAAATGACATGTTACTTAAAGTGTAGCTCTGCTTATTACACAGTTTGTCTTTCATGTCTTAAATTTAGTCTGCACTGTGCCAAGCTGAATGTACGTTGAGAAAAATCTTAGTTCGAATTTTCTAGCTTAATTTGTGTACATCTTATTGTCTTAGGGAATGTGCAACAGTGTTTAAGTATACTTTCATTTTTATCACTTGACATAACACTACATGTCCCACTGAATTAGGGCGGCGCTCTGCATTACAGTGTTCCTTTGGAATGCTGCAGTGGAGCTGACTGTGTTTGGACAGTGTGAGCATCCTGGAGTGCTGACAGGGCTGCCTGGGGGCACCACTGACCTGAAGGGTTGGGTGAGCACAGGGCTCTGTAACTGTTACCTCACCCAGTGCCCCGCCACAGGGTGGCTTAGAGTTAAATACTGTACACAAATAAGGGCAAACCTGAGTTTACAACAACGACTTTGGCAATGGATTGTCCCATCTGTCCTGTTCCTGGTTCTGCACACAGTACGGTCTGGTGGAGTGAAAACATTCTGCTTCATTCTGATGAACCTGTCTGTCCATTTGTCTGTATCTGTGACAGTTCACTTTCACTATTTTGTAATAGTGAAATGAGGGCAATCTAAAGTGTAACTTTATATTCCACTACATACAGTACTGGAATTTTTGACTAAAATTTTAATTTTCAATTTAAAAAGACTTTTTCAGCAACAGGCCAATGAATTCAGATACATAAATAAAGGACACAACTTTTTAAAACTGATGTATCCAGAAATGCCAGAGGCATGTGTTTAAAATAACAATAAAATAAAGTGCTATCCTGAATTGTATTTGTAATTCATTTGTAAGTAGGTATATGAAATGTCCAAAGTAGTAGTTGTTGAATATTTTTCTTCTCTTTGCAATAAAGTCCTGTAAAGTGGCTAACAAAACAAAACGTGGGGTTTTGATTTTTCTGTTTTGTTTTGTTTGTTTGTTTTGAGCTCTGGTACTCTCACTGAGCTGAATCCAGGGTTTAAAGTTTTATAGTATAATTTACTTAACTTATTCATAGGGTTTAGCCACTATAATTTTTAGGACAGCCTTCTTCTGTATAGAAACTAGCTAGTTACCAGGTCTTTAAGAAAGAAGAAACTTAGTGTTGCTGGAAGAATTCAATGAGTTTTTCAGACCTGGTTGATAAAACGTTTTGTTCTGGCTTGAGTTTATTGCTGGGTATTCAGTTATTGTGGAAACAGTAGAAACTCTGTGACTGTTCAGACAGCAAATCACTTTCAATTTTTATATTTTAAAATAGGCAAAATATTTATATTATGGTGGAGTATAGTCAAATTTAGACCTTGAACCACTTTTTTTCTATATCTACAGTAGTCTGAATTTTTAGTAGTTTGATTTTTAAAGTTTGAGTGTATCAGTTGGAAATCCCGCTATTTTGGAGTTCTCAGCTTTTAAGACAGTTTTCTTCACTAAGGCCGCCGAACACTCCAAACTTGCAGTTGTTTTAGGGCACAGTTGAAGGCAGCATAATGAGGGAAAAAAATAAAGAAGCAACAACATATTTTGAATTAAATTTCTCATCATGGAATCAGCACTGTCCATCATCTTTCTCAATGTTAACTACAGGTTTTCAGGCCTTCATTTGTCAATGTGCAATCATAAAAACAAAACAACACACTCAAATGAAGCAGGATTTTTTCTCATGCCTGTGAATGAGGGTTTCATTCCTGTAGGTAATTGTCATGGGTTTTGGTGCTGAAAATTGCTGTGTTTAAAAAATTAGATTAAATAGGAACTAGTGTGTAGCTCAGTGTACATCACCTTTTTATATTTAAACTTTTTTTTTTATTTTAAACCTTTTATGAAGTTTACCAAGAACTGCCTCTTAAAATGTAAAAAATGAAAAAAAAACACACAACTTTCTGTGCTTTCTGGTTTGGCTGTCATGGGTCAGCCAGACAGGACAATTACTGTAATTTGTAAATGAAAGTATTCAGTCTATACAGGGAATGTTCAACACTGCTATTTCGACTTGCAGTTTTTGAGTGGTTCTTATTTTTATGTTCCTCTAGATCATATTTTTAAAAGGTGGTTTAGGATAGGAACTTGGTAAAATAATATTTATTTCTGGTGAACAACTAAATTATTTACATAACTTAAATGCTGACTCACTACTGTGTGTAACTCTAAATTTGACATGAGGACAAGTCTACCTGTGGAATCTGATTTAACTTCAGTACACTTAAGATGCATTAAAACAATTGGTTTGGGGAAGACGCCATATAGTTTTAACTTACCTGCATGCTGTAAATGTATTTGTGTTTAAATAAAGAGGAGAAAAATCTTTGAACTTCTGTGCATTTATTCCATTTATTCTCTCTACAAGTGCTCAAGTGTGGTGTCACTTGTCTCTATGGTGGTGCTCAAAGCTCTCTTTTTATCCACATGCTTGGACAGTTGTTTCCTGAATCCGTGTAAACTTGGTTGGAAAGGAATTACCGTGAGTTATCACTTGTTCTGTGAGCCTCTCTTTTCTTAAACTTGGCATCTGCTGATTTGGTGACCCCTCATTCTGGTTGAGACAGATTAATCAGTTTCCAGTATTTCTGTGCCATCTAGACTTTTGTAGGTTTCTTTCCCTTTCCAGGGACTCATTTTCCTTTACTAGTATCTGTAATAGCTCATTCTGCTTTTTCTTAGTGCTATTGAACTGATGTTTTTTATGGAGCAGTTTGGTTATGCAAGGCTGCAAACAACTTCTGGATAATTTCCACAGAAAAAGATGTAGCTAGATGTATAGCTTTGATCTATAAATATATATAAAAAGCAGAAAGGAGGTAATGATTTAAGTCTGCCTGTACAGTTACTGTAAAAGCAAAGATCTCAGGAGGAAGAAATTGCCATCTGTAAAACTGTTCAGCAGTGAGCTGATCTAGAGTGTAAAATATTTCTTAGTGTGCCCTGTTAACAGAAGATGGCTCTGTCACAGAGCTCCCTTTTGAATAAATCTCTGAATCTGCTAGGGGATGATCAACTCAGACCTCTTTAATTGCAGACAACCACTAAGAGATGCTCAGAAAGGAAAGGAAATCTTTCACTCTGAAGTTTATGAGCAATGGAATGATTCAAAATCACTTTCGAAAGTGAGCAAAAAATATGACTGCATCTCTGCCGGGGGAAAGCTGTGGTTCCCTGCACTGTCAAACTGGTGAGGAGTTCATTGGCCGGCCTAGGTCCTTCCCCCTTGAATGCACCGAGGAGTTGTAACACCCGTTTAGGAAGTGTCAAAATGAATCACTATTTAACGTGTGCTATGTGCAAAACTGCCATTTAAGTACGTATTAAGGAAATAAATGACGAAGGAAACACCTCTGGAAGATGAACACTGTGAACTGATGGGTACGTCAGAGTTTTTGCCTGGGGAGTTTTGAGCTCCCGAGTCTTCCTGCACTCCGCACGGGGCTGTTCATTGTTTTATCTTTACCCAGCCCTTGCTGGGGGCAGTGCGGGCAGGGCAGTTGGAGCCGCTGCCTCCTTGGGGTATTTCACGGCCAAAGCTGAAGGGGCAGAGGGTGCCATCAGTCCGCTGTGCTGTCCGGGGTAATGGGGAGAGGAGAAGAAAGGAAGGAAAATACAGCACAAAAGAAAGAGCCTGTTTGGCCTATTTGCATTTGAAAAGGAAAGTAAGAGGCTCATGGTTATAAAGGGAAAGCTGAGGCGTTGCATAGCGTGGTGGGGCATATCTGCACCCAGGGATGTCCTGCAGGCTGAGCTCTGCGTGGTGTGGGCACGGCAGTGTTGGGGAACAGAGCTAAATCCATGGAGTGTCTCCACCTCCGGTACCGAGGGAAGTGTTGATGTGTACCTGCAGCAAGGAGGGCAGCATAACCCACATTCTCCGCGTTCCTGAATCCACAAAACTGGGCGTGGAAATAACTCGGAGGTGCCCCCGGGTGTGTGTTACAGGTATTTCCACAGCTCCTCTTGTGAGGAGCAAATGCCTGAAAACCCCTGTCCTGTAAGTCAGCTAAATTGTCTCCTACAGTTGGAGACAAATACACTTCACAGCTTATAACAGTGTATTAAAGATACCCGTGAGTCCACTTGCTCTTTCAGTGGATTCTTAATTTTGCTCTTGTCAGGAGCAGCATTGAAAAGGAAAGGTAAATTAGCTCAACAAAGTGTAAATGTCGGGCGTTATCCTGTCTGCTTATCGCCCTCATCAACAGGCCCGGTTCCATCGGCCAGGGGCGTGTTGTACTGCCGGGACAGATGTTTTAAGTGATCACTCATCATCCGATAAACAAGTGAGTATTTGGAGGATGTTTTCCCTGAGAGGGTGTAAATGATTCTTTGAATGCTTTTACTGCAGGAAATACCCTTCAGCAGAAACCAGGACAGAGCTTTGTCTGCTGCCCCGGAAGGCTCGTTTGAGCCGCAGCTCCCTGCGAGCCCTCCTGTGCCTGCGGCAGCCTGGTCACCGCAGCGCCCGGGGCTGGGTTGCGGGGGGCGGCAGCAGGGTGAGCCTCCTTCCTGCTGCTCCTGTAGGAGAGGATGTGCTCTCACACTTGGTGGTGGCTTGGCTTGCAGGGGCAGCGCAGCGCCTGCTGCTCACGCGGGAACGGAGCCCTGGTCCTGTCACACCAGGCTCAGCCCCTGCCGCCCTTCCCCTTCAGACGGCAGAGCTCCCTTTGCCCAGCTCGGGTGTGAGTGACTTGTCCCTGTGCTGGGGGAAGGGACGAGCTGCCTCCTTTTCCTGGAAGGTGCTGGTATTGTTGCTCTCCTGAAAGGTGCTGGTATTGCTGCTCCTCCAGGCCTGCTTTCCTCTGGACACGAGGGCCGTGTGCTCAGGGTTACACAACAGGAGAGGAACTGAGCCACAGGTCATGGAGAGGAAGGAATTCAGGCCAGGCTGTGGTGGAGTAATTAAGGTTTTGAGTTTGGTCTGTGACACTTTCTAGGTCTGAGGTTCAGCTTGACTTCAGGCCAAATGATGAGCTCCTCCACTGCCAGGGCTGTCATCCTCCCTGCCCAGTAAAGGGCTGTTTTGTTGATGAGCCTGCAAGGTGGTGATGAAGTGTGGGCCACTCTTGTGATCTCCCTGCTCGGGGCACTAAACCCAGAATTGTCCACTCGGGGCTGAAGTTCCAGCGGTGATGAGCCAGTGAGGGACAGCCGGCCCTAACCTGGCCCGGGCAGGAATCTGCCCGAGACCTCCCGGCCGTGAGCGAGCACGGGGGCGATGTGGCCTCGTGTGCCGGGCACGGCCGGGTCAGCGATCCAAGGATCCATTGCTCCGTCCCTCGGCCCGG